CGCTATTTAGCGTGTTTTAAGAATGAAAAGTGAGATTTAGTACAGCCAGAAAAAGGTGTGCAAGGGCTTTATTAATAAAGTAAGAGATGACTAACGAGGAGCACCTCAGTTGGTCTTACCGCAGAAGTATTTGCCATGACAACTAAAGATACTAGATATCTATCACTGTGTTCCACTCATACCACGACTTCTTAAACTTTAAACACAAACAATTTTTCTCAAGCAGAAATTCTCTCTGAGCCACAGAACACCACATGCCCATTTAAAGTCACATGGGAGAAAGGAATTAAGTTTGATTGCTGCTAGCATTTCCACAATAATGGAAAACACTAGAGTTGATTTTTTGCAGACTACAGATTATACAGAAGCCACTTTCTTGCAAAGCTTCAGTGTATTTCAAGTATCAAGTGTCCATTAAAGCTATCTCTAAGGCACCTAGGCACAATGATACCTCAGTGTTTCACAAATCTGGCAATTAGCTTATTCTCAGCTCATTTCTGTCTTAACAGCTGAGGTTTCTTCCTTCACCTTCCATTTGCTTATCTCTTTATATCCTATCCCATGGAAAGACATTGCAGAAGAGAGATTGCAATTAAATGGTTAAATCTAAAAGTAACTATACAATCACACTGTTTGTCTCCCCACCTGAAGAACCCATCCATCAAGCAAAATGCTTCTGCTTTTAACCTCCATACCTGTAGGAGGGTCGTCTGGAAAGAATTTCTCTTCGTTTCTGTGAGTCTGTGACGCTGTCTACTGACTCCTGCGAATCTTCGCTTTCTGCTATAGTGGAGATCTGTGAACAAGAACAGCAATCAAACTTAACAAGACACTCCCAATGTCTTTGTTTTAAGGAAATGTTGACATCCTGTGAAAAACACTACATTTCAAGTATTCTACAGTGCTTCTGCCTAGGCAGTGAGCAGGAAGGGACGGCTGTTTAGTACCAGATCCAGTGAAGAATGACCAGTTATCTACCGGTGAGAATATCCTTTATAATTTAAACAGTTCAGTAAGAAAAAATAATCAGCAATTCCATACACTTTTTGCTTCCCATGATTCCTTGTTTCCATCCATTTCAAGGAAACAAGAATTTTTTAGTAAAATTTTGAGAGACAGTAACTAAAACCATTAAGATAGCAGAAACGTTTGGAAACAAAGAGCAACACACTGAAGTTGAAAAACATCGATTTATAAATAATAGGGTAGATTGGTTACAATGAGACTGGCTTGGGGGGGGAGGGGAAATTGTCATGAAGATGTCATACATGAAGATGCTAAAAAATAGTGAAGTGCTGTAATTCCAAACACCTGTGCTAAAAAAAAGGCAAAGGTTTGTGACGGAAAGCTAAAATGTTTGCATCGATTGCATTTCAATTTTACATTCAAAGTGTGCAAAAAATGTAAAAACATCTCCGATACATAAAAACAGAAACTGTTTTCCAAAAGATTATAGTCACGTGACAAATATACAAAAGCTAACAATAGCTGGTGAATAGAGAAATGCCTGTGTGAGAAACATAGCTCACAGCCTGACATTTTATGCAATGCAGGGAGGATTCCTGAAGGCTCAAAAAGCTTGCTGTCCGTTATCTCCCAGAACTGCCCAAATCTCACAGTTATCAGAGGGCCTGAACAGGTCCTTGGGTGACTGTGAACTACTGGGCTTTGAATATCACAGCACTCCAAGCACTGAGCCAGGTGAATTCTAAGCACGGTTTCACTGTCAGTCTCGTCTCTTCCACCTCCTTGGAGGTGCTAGTAACTTGTGCACTTATCTGAAAACTGCTCACCTCCGACAGATTGCAACTCTAAACTTTTGACTCCAATGGCTGAGGAGGGTAGAGCCTGCCAGAAACTCAGCAATAAAGCTGACAAGGAGTAAACAAAGATTATTATCAGAATGTCCTAGATTGAAATTATGCATGCCTTATTATTTAAAATAATACCCAGCTAAATATCTGTATCAAATAGTCACAATGTCTACTTTTTAAATTAAACATTTTTTGAGCTGTATACTAATAGCAAATGAATGACGTACAGTCCTTTCCCTATGCAGCTGCTGTACACCAAGCAATTTCACTTTCTGCATTCAGTAACACTGAGCTTAAAGTAGTTAAAAAAAAAGTTACAGGTTTTAAAGATTTCAGACTACTTGTCTCCTATGTCTCCAAGCTACCTCATCATACTGCATTATCTGCCTTGCTTTGCAGAAGAGAAAATATAAAGCAAACAACATTCAACAAGCAAATTTTAAAACCATTTTTACAAGAGGACTGATAGGTTTATTTTAAGAACCATTAACATACAGGCATCTGTTTTGTAAAGTAGTGCAAATATTTTCTAAGTAGCAAAGACTCTTTTCCCAGAATAACAGCCTCCTTGATGATTACATTATTAAAAAAAATCCCTTTTGTTCACTTCAGAATAGTATGAACTCTTACTCAATAAAGATATATGAAAATACAGTAGAGAGAAAAAGTAGAATAATACTTTAAGAAAGACCATGAGGCCGTTAAGATCACCAACCCAATTCTAGAGGGAAATGAAACTCAGTGATGTTTGAAAGTGAAAAGTGGTTAAACCAGAACAGAAGAAAAGTCAGAGTAGCAAATACTGTACAGGTTCTGCCTTTAACGTGCTCTTAAAAATTTTATATAAGCAAAAACACAATCTGGGAAACAAACACATTAGAAACCAGTGAACTGGCAGGACTATTCAAAAGGCCCAATTCACCTATTTGGGATTTCTTCAGTCAGTACCTGAACTGTCTGGACCTGTGGAGACTGAATAACTGACGGCTGGGCAGCCTGAATTACTCCATGCACTTGAACCGTCTGCCCATTGGGCAGCTGAACTAAGGTCACCGTGGGTGCCGAAGACGTTCCGTGAGCTGCTGGCATAGATACCTGCAAAGAAGAGACAGTGAACATAAATTAGGTTATTGCAAAAATCTTATTTCACTACCAAGAACACTTTTTGGTGAAAGAATTATGTCTCTTCTAGACCCCAGTTAAATGACCCAAATCTTTAAACCCCCCTGAACTGCCTAAGCCCAACATCTGACCTACTTTACAAATGAATCTAATGCAGAATTTCTGCAGGCTCAAAACACTGCTTATAAAACCACTGACAAGAATGAGAAAAACACAGCTGCCTCTATTTTGAGGTAACCTAATAACACACTACTACCTTTCGCTCACTTCTAGATACTGCTAGGACTTGGGTGTACTCCTACAGTCACTGCTGAGTCAAAGGCAGAAACATATGGGAGTGAAGCTATTTTTGTTCACACTCAAGAAAATGCAGTGTTTGCCAGATGTAAGAAGTTAAAATTTTTAGGGAGTCATACCTTTCAGACTTTCTAGAGACTAAACCATACTGACCAGCTGGCAAAGTCCATTAAATGAAGAAAACTGGCTATGAGTTCGGAGAGAAAACCCATGGATTTGCAGCAGAAACAAATGGTTTGTAGGCAGTTCCTGTGATTCAGTGTCACGGGTCAACACAAACTCTAGTCTTAAGAGTTACTTCTATGAGGAAAAACTGCCCGCATTTTAAGCCCTCAGTACCTAAACACAACTTTGTCTCTCCAGCACAGACCTGTAGGCACAGTGGCTATGCCAGCAGGGATACACTCGTGACTTCAGCACCGTACGTTAGTGCTGCGTGCACCGCCACGCGTGTCCTGCGCAGAGGCTCAGGCTCCGAGGACAGTGATACCACACAAAGCTGGTCACGTCACGCAGGGAAGTCTCACCCTGGCTGGTCACAAGAACCCTTATGGGTGGCTGAAGGGCCATGCACCAAGGTTGCTACGTGGCTGGGCACATGCCGTGGTGCATGTCCCGGTGCTCAGCAATTGTCTGGTGACACGACCGACGTGTTCGTGGCTGGGGGGGCTCCTGAAAGGCAGGAGGGTGCAGGGGCTGCCCTACCAGTGCACACAGCCCTCGGTTTGTGCCCACCTCGCACCACCACAGCCCTCAGGGAAGCACTGCAGGCAAGCGCGAGCTGCTCTCGCAGACCACAGCCAGGTCGTGGGTCACTGAGTAGCCAGCCTTCTTCTAGACACCCAAGTGTGGAAAATTTAACAATTCTCCAGCATTCAACAGCATTTTCAAGAAATTCTATCCGTGCAGCTACAATGTGAGAAGGGGCTGCGCTGCTGCCCTACCTAATCTCAAAGAGCTGCTCTGTACCGGATGCAGAAGTAAATCCTCTGCTGTGCCCATGAACATGTGGTTCTCAAAAAGCTGCAGTAGCTGATCTCTGAATTTTCATGAACATCCGCCACTTACAAAGAAATTTTGCTTAACAACAAAATTAAAAGGAATTACATGTAGACCTCTCTCCTCCACAGCTGTCTCTCCCTAATCCACAAATTTGAGTTTGCCTTTACCTTCCTTTTCCAGGAAAACAGCTGCAGCATTACATGGTGGTACTTAACTTACATCTGAGAGAAACCGGGGCTGAGATTAACATGAGCACACTTTCCTCTGGCAAATTATATCCCTTTACCAAGTGACCCTTTTTAATAATGCATGTCTGACTAAACAGTCCTTGGCAATGACAGCAAAGCTGACCAACTGGAGGCCACTCTGAGGCTGAATTAAGCCAACAGCAGAGTGTAACTTCCACAAATGTCTCTGACTCATACCTTGTGGAACTGGAACGAGTTTCCTTTTGACTCTGAAAACTACCCTGAACTCACTGAAAATGCAACAATTAAACTACGCTTAATAGAGGGGTGACCTTACAAGAAATAATGAAAAAATTAAATTGACATAATTAGTTATTTAGATTTGCCTAAGCCTCTGAGGGCACTCCCTAATGCCAAACACCACCACTTCACATATTAAACGTATTACAATAATGACACTGACGTGAACAAGACAAGGAATTATGTTTAGACTGTTGTGTCACCTCCACAAGGAATATGTACGTTCTGGGAAAAAACTAAGGTGCAAATAATACAGTGAATGGCAAAGAGAAAATTAGGAAAAATATAACATATTTCTTTGTGGTTCACGTGGATTTTAACCACAGCTCATTCTCATTCAAGTTCTGGGGTGATTTTGTCCTAGTAAAGTGCATTCAACCCACTACATACTTGTAAATTCAGCTACCTGGAGTACATTAGTACATGAATTTACAACATTCCTTCTTCTCTGGACTAAATCTTAATGCATACCAAGTGAGAAGCAGTTTACTGGTTTTGCAAGAGAAATAAACTACTTCCACTCAGTTCACACTGACGCGTTATTCGCACCACCTACATCCTGTGCCTAAGTTAGACAGCGAGAAAACTGCCCAAAGAGGCAAGCTGCTGCAGGGCAGCTGGTGGCCTGTAAATTCACACTACAGCTCCACTCAGCAAAACCACCCTGTGCATTTTAACAGCTCCAATCCCTATACTATCACTTCAAGTGTACTATCCCTGGTTTACCAAAAGGTGTAATAACTTTAAAAATACATTAATCATTTACAAAATGGTAAGTGATTTAACACTTGTGCCACCTAAAAGACACTTAATACCCCAAACTATGAGATCTAAAAAAACTTGTTTGTACTTTGCAGACTGCAAATATCTTTAAAAGTAAATGGTTACAGAAGAGAGCCAAACAGATTCTGGACTAATTTACACAAAGGAGTTGCTTCTGCCAACCACCAGTGTATCCAAGAATGAAACCAGGTTCCAGAATTAGAGATGTACCTGAGATTGCATTTCTTGTCCCTCCAAAATAATTTGGGGATAATAAACAATCTACTACTGTATCTCTAAACACCAAACAATTCTGTGAACTTCTAGAGACAACAGGATGATATGAGCTGTGAAATGCCAGGTTGTTCCACTTGATTAGAATGTTTATAATATTAATCCCATCTGATAAGATGTATTTGCTGCATTATTTATCTATATTTTCAGTCTCTTTTCTTCAGCATTACACTGACTGCTATAGACAAGTTTCTAGCAGAAAACATAACAGCAAAACAATCCAGTCAACATTAAAAAAGACAGTAAATTACATGCTTTGAAAAAAATACCTCTCAGTGGTATGGTGTGGTAAATAATGCTAGAAACATTTTCTTGCATTATTCTGTTAACATTACACAGTTTACACACATACAGTTCTTCAGAACTAACACCGCCTAGTGAGATGGGAAGTTAAAAATCTCTACTGCTTTAAAAATGTGAAGACATATATTAAAGGAACTATACACCGCACTTGTTTCAGAAGCGTGTCAATGGAACCTTGTCTCAGGCCCATGAGCAGATAATCCCTCTTAAAAAAAATTATCCAATAGGTAAAACTATTACACCGTTATGATTTTATACCTGGGCTAACGTTGCAATCTGTGGTTGTGCCTGCACTGTCATCTGTTGGGTTTCTGCCTCTGTAACGGCTGCATCTCCACTCTGCTGGTTCTCTGCTCCAGATTCCATGGTCATTTAGTTACCTACAATCACAATATTTGTCGTAAGTCTGGGTTGGTATTCAAGTCCATTGTTCTTGGTGGATCTGGTAGCAAACGCTGCAGCTGAATTCCCATTACTACATACTGTTGCCATTTGCTTATTAAAATGTTGCCAAACTATTAGTATTCAGGCAATTTTTTTTTCGTGCCAGGTGTCTGTCTCAGGTTGATTTTTCTGTGTGTAGTGTTTCTGAAAAACAGCCTCCTCCAATAATGAAATCACAAAAAATGTGGTTTGCTCATCTTGAAAAAAATTGCCCAAGGAATTGCACTACGATGATCTAGTAGCTCCGCAATTTGGAATAACGACCGGCAGTTTGTCAGGAAGGGCACTCCCCCACTGCCAAGGTGACAATATGCCCTGCTTCAGCCCTCCCTCTCCCCCGCAACTGCAGCTTGCAGATAACCAATAGCAATTGCTTCTGTTGGGCACTTAGTTTTCAGTCGCCTTCTGCCTGAACTAAATATGCAACATCTCCGTGCAAATTCTTTCCACAACCAGCCTGTGTACCGCCCTATGTCACAGCAACTTAGTCTCTTCTACTCAGCAGTCTTAATGCCCGTATACATAACGATGGAAGCCACTTCTCCTTGAACCTTACTGCACAGAAATGTTTTTATATCCAGAGGAACATAGTAGTTTGTCATGACCTAAGTTTTGTATTGTACATAGCTCCCAATACACTGGCATTTCTAAGCAATAACTGAGCAAGCCTAGATCACGAGAACACACAACTCTTTAAAAAGAGGTTGCATAACTTCCCAAATCACGCATATAGGCAGAGTGCAATGAATGTTAAATTCTGCACTGATTGGTGAAAATTACTTTTCAGTTCTTCATTAAATACTGGTATTTAATACATAGGGCATAACTTCAAAATACAAGGAAATGCTCCCAATGGCGATATAGCAACAGCACTGTATTATACAGAATTCCGGATACCAAATATGAAGAACAGGTATTACCTCCATAGGCACAATACTAATTCTGCATCCCACGCTCTGGTGCTCAATCTACTCAGGCCCCTGGCTACCCTCAGACAGCACACTGCTCCTCAGAGCTGGAGTAAAACAACCACTACAGCATTTCTGCTTTGGGAAAGGGCCTGGAGACAGAGGATGCTCACATCAGAAGGTGGAAAGAAGAAATGCCCCTCTCCTTGCCCAACTTTACTGGCCACCCATGGAGGACTCAGAAGTGTCATACAGGTGGTGGTACTATGCCAACATTCAAGACATTTCATTGTAAGCATAAAGTCTGGGAAACTTCCATTTTGACAAAAACTGCACTTCAGTGTTATGGGAAAGAAAATATTCTTTGAAGAGCTGTTGCCTAAAGCACTAGGGTCACACTTCATCACTGGATCTATTACAAAATGTCTGTCTTACAGTAAATGATTGCTAATCAACAAAGATAAAATAGCATTTCAAAGTAGTAGCTGCATCTCACATCAAAGAAAGCAAGTCAATGTATATAAAGCAAATTCTGTATATTCAGTACTGAAACTGACTGTTCAAATGAGCTTTTGTGGTTCACTGTGTGTGTGAACACTTAAATGTTTAAGTACCAAATGTTTAGTTCCAACATCAGTTTAGCAAGTCTTAAGACTTGCACTAGCAGATGTACAAATTTTTGGAAAAGCGCATTAAATTCTTCTAAGCACCTGGAATTTTGTTATGCCTCTCCCTGTTGCCATGATTTTTGTCCCACATAAACCAGATGTTAGTCTGACAAATGTTCACAGATAAATAATATTCTACCTATATGTAGGTAATGGTAAACTGACTGTGAAAGAAATTAATTGTAAACTCACTGCATTTTAAGTAGCCCAGGTGTTAGAGGTATCTAGTTTTATCACTTTTTTGTGAGTATCAGCCAGTTTGTCCAAGGTAAGCAAATCGGCAACTTTTCCCCAATTCCTATGCATGTATCCTGGTGACTCCAGCCAAAAGACTACCTCATAGGAACCATTTCAGGAGCAGATCTTTTGCATCAGCAACATCTCCCAGCAAGTATCTGAAAAGAACTTTAAAAAACAATTTCCCAGCTCCGATACAATGTTGCAAAACTAATGATGACTTTGTTTTCTGATACAAATCGTGACTCAAGTATGGAGTCAATTGTTTACAAAAGGGATTAGAAATAGACGAAATGTGCATGTCTCTTGAATCAGGTATTTAGCAACATTTGCAAAGGCAGACGTTGCCAAATTCCTGC